GCAGCAGCCGACACCGCCGACGCCCTCGCCGCCCGCCGCCGCCGCCGCCTCCTCGCCGGCCCCGGCGGGCGGGCGCAAGGCGGGCGGGCCGGGCCCGGGAGCGCGGCCCTCGCTGGGCAGGTGGGTGCCGGGGGGCGGGGGGGGGGGGGGGTTGCTCCGTCCCCGGCCCTCGGAGAGGCCGGAGCCGGCGCCGCCGCTGCCCTTCAAGGCCGGCCGAGAGGAGCCCGCCCGGGCAGAGGGCACCGCCGCGGCCTGCTCTGCCGCAGGGACCCGGGGAAGCAGGGCAGGGCAGGGCGGGGGGGGGGAGGAGGAGGAGGCTCAGCCCCAGAGAACGGGGACCCCTCCCCAAAAGGCCCCGGGGGGGGGCACTGCCCTCGGCCTGAATCCCCCCCCTCAAATAATGCCAACCTGGCAATGGGGGCCCCCCCGGGCATCAAGAAAAGAGGGGAGGGGGCTGGAAGGGAGGAAGGCCAGCCAGGCAGACCCCTCCCCCGCCTGGGCGTTGGGGGGGGCAGGAAAGGAAGGGGGGCGCCTCTCTTATCGCCCCCCCCGCCCCTTCCCCCTCCCCCAACCCAAGGCCGCGCAGGAGAATCGGGGAATTCTTGTGGTTTTGCAACGCTGGAGAAAAATCTGGGTTTCTCTCGCTTTGACCTCCGCAATTTCAGCCTTCCAGCTAAGCTGCTGCTGAGGCCGGGCTGGGGTTGGGGGGGGGGGGCCCCGGGGGGGGGGGGGGCTTCCAAAGGAAAAGTTGTTGCAAGATCCAATCTGGGTCGGTTCCCCGGGACCAGAGATTCCCCCCCTGCTCCTGGTGTGACCGGCCCGGCTTGGATCTTGCAACCTTATCCCAAATATTGCAATATTTGCCTTCCTTTCCAAAGGAAAAAGTTCTACCTACTAAGGGTGCAAAGGGTTCAAGCTTGGTTTTTTTTTTTTTTTAAAGCCGATTTGGGGATGGGGGTGTCCCCCCAAAGCCTTTGATTGACAGGATATTGATCACTGGGGGAGCCTGTTGGCTTTTCCAGGGAGGCAGCTGTTGACACTACCCGAAAGCCCCTCCAGTACCTTTTCAGCTTATGCAATGCCTTAGTGTGAATGGGTGGTATACGGTTATCCCAAGCTGCTTTCTAGGCCGGTTTTCATATTTTGAACGTGACTAAATTCGCCCTCTTTAAACTCGCCGGAGTCAAAAAGCGAAAGGCGAGAAAGGTAAGGTCATTCCTGCTGTTCCTTTGAATGGGAACCGCTGCTTGGTTTGCACCAAAAAGGAGAGTTTTCCGTGGCAGGTCGGTTTGCAAGGATTCCTCTCTTTGACGTAAGCTCCTTAGCGCAGAGACGGAGGCAGGAGTACCTCCTTTGTAAATCAGCCTGCTGGGTGCTGGCCAAGGGCTCCTTCTGTCCGTGACCCTTAGAGTGACCTGGGGAAGACCGTTAATCCCCAGGGCCCATCAACCCCAGGACAGAGATTCCCGGGGACGACAAGCAGGAATTCCCAAGGTCCCCAAGCATTTTTGAAGGGAGTTCGGATTCTCCTGTGAAAATGGGACTTTTGCACGCCATGAGACATTCCCAAGTGCTTCGGGTCTTCCTTCCTTCCAGTTTCAAACTCAGTTTGACGTCGGAGCTTCCTGGAGCTGAAAACCACCAGGTGTTTCTCTGCTTAGAAGACATGGTGCCCATATGTTAAGGAAGAAGGGCGGTTTGGCCGGTCATCAGCTTGAGGGTCCCATGTCTGACATGACCAAGGACAGCTTGGACATACTCAACTGCTGCCCAGTTGGGTTGGGTTCCAAGCCTCCTGAGAGGAGGCTAGACCATTTTGACTTCGTGTCAGACCGTTTCCTTAAGGTCAAGCGTTCAGTTGGTCTCTTGCAGCTCGCATCAAAACTAAGGAAGTTGAAATAGGCCTGAAAAGAAAGCAAATTCTACCCTGCTTATTCCCCAGTTCAGGTTTTGCATTGTGGGCTTCTAAAATGTAAATTGGTGCCTAAAAAAAACAGAGCGTCAATTTTGGCTTACCGTTATTTTGGCTAGAAAGACGTGTGTATTATTGTACGTGTGCCTATCTGGTCATGTTTGGAAAGCTTAATTTTTATATCCATCTGTATTATTATTTTTTTCATCCCTCTGGAGCATGGAAACCTGGTGTGCTCAGTCTTGATTGCCTGAGAGATAAATAGTCAAAATTATTTTCAATCCACTACGAAATGGTAGCCATTCTATCTGTCTGTCCGGCTCTTTTAGGCCTTGACAAAAACTGTTCCTCTAATCCAGCATTGTGGCAGCTTTAAGAGTTGCGGACTTCAACTCCCAGAATTCCTTGCTGGGTAATTCTGGGAGTTGAAGTAAGTCCACACATCTTAAAGTTGGGGAACTCAAGAACATTATACAATAATAATCTACAAGAACATTCTTTTCAGTAAAACAAGGATAGAAAAAGAAAAAACCTCAAAGCCATGTCATTATGAATGTTGAAAAAATATTTTAAACTAGGGCTCTCCAACCTTGGCAACTTTAAGCCTGGAGGACTTCAACTCCCAGAATTCCCTAACCATATAAATTGCAAGAAAGGATTAAGATAGTCCTGGATTTACAGCAGTTAATTTAGTAACTATTCAAAGTTGCAACAGCAATGAAAAAAGTGACTTATGACCATTTTTCACACGACCTTTGTAGCATCCCCGTGATCGCTTAATCAAAATTCAGATATCTGGCAACTGATCTCATACTTACGACGATTGCAGTGTCCCAAGATCACTCAATCTCCTTTTGACAAGAGAAATCAAACGGGGAGGCCAATATTTTACTTAACAACCAGATTACTAACCAATCCACTGCGGTGATTTCACTTAACTGTGGCGAAGAAGGTCATAAAATGGGGCAAACCCACTTAACAAAATTTCTCTCACTTAGCAACAGGAATTTCGGGCTCCCTTATCATAAGTGGAGGAATTCCTGTAGAGAACTTGCTGAGAAAGACTTAAAATGAACAGTCTCTGTGTCCTTACTATTTGGGGACCTAAAAATAGGAGACTTATGCCCCTGTAGATGAGATTTAGCCTAATAAACTCAGTTCAAAGGATACATTTAATTTTTTTTTTATTTTTGGCATCGCAAAGCTGGGACAAAACAGGAAAAATACGTACGGAAGCTGAATTTGAAGACGGCCCCCAAGGTTGGATGAAATAAACACTTCCGTTGTGTAGCGAGAACTTAAAAAGAGAAAAATTGGGCCTGGCTCCATTTGAAAGGCATTCTGTAAATATTTACAGGGCTCCGAAGAGGTTTGGCTGTGCCGTATCCAGAAGGCCCATTTCATTCAAAGGCAGGCGCTGAGGTCCACTTGCGGCTCATCAAATCTTAATGCCTTTTAATACCAGTTCATCGGCAAAGGTGCTGCTACCAGGATCCTAGCCTCACCTGGCTCTCCCCCGGCAGTTGCAACCAAACCCCTCCTTGGCTTTTCATTTTGCCACCCCTGCTAGAAATGTCAGGGTGCAAATTCCTAGCTTTTGTTGACAACAGAATTCGCTTGACAATATTTATTTCTCAGGCCTGCAAGGTACCTTCAGTAGCCCTGAGCGTTGTTCCTCTACAGCAGGAGCCCCCAACCTTGGCCACTTGAAGACTTGGGGACTTCAACTCCCAGAATTCCCCAGCCAGCCACGCCTGCTTTTTCTCTCTCTCTTACTCTCCTAAAGTGGAGAGAGATTGCAGAGGAAGGGATTACAGGAGAGTCAGCTATGCTGGCTGGAGAATCCCACCAGTCTTAATGGCCAAGGTTGGAGACCTCTGATCTTCCGGCAGCCTTGGATTTGACTTTGGATTCAAATCCTTGGCAGAAGCGGAGGGGAATATTTTTTCAGCTCAAAAGACACACAGGTGGTCCTAGACTTACAACAATTCATTTTGTGGCTGTTCAAAGTTACAACGGCACTGTGGGGAAAAGGTGACTTAGCACCCTTTTTTTCACCCATTGCAACCTTCGTCGCATCCCTGTGGGTCACGTGATCCAAATTCAGTCACTTGGCAATTGACTCACATTTATGATGGTTGCACAGTGTCCCGGGATCCTGCAATCCCCTTTGGGCCACCTTCCCACAAGCAAACTCCACGGGGAAGCCACGTGCCAAGCTTACCAAACTGCAGCAGTTTTAGTTAGTGGTGGCAAGAAAGATTGTAAAATGGGGCAAAAACGCACTTAAACAAACGTCTCACTTTGCAACTGGATTTTGGGGCTCAGTTGCGGTTGTAAGTCGAGGACTATCTGTACCAGCAATGAAAGGTAATTGACGAAAAAAGATCCATATTTACCCATTTTTCCCATAAGCCAAATGGGTCAGAACTTCATCCTGAGCACAGAAGTTTTGTAAGCAGAACCATTGATAGATTTAAAAGGTAGGTAGGTAGGTAGATGATGGATAGATAAGTAGGTAGATGATGGAGATAGGATAGATGATGGAGAACCATTGATCGATTTAAAAGGTAGGTAGATGATAGATATAAGATGGAGGTAGGATAGGAAGGTAGGTAGAGATAGATAGATAGATAGATAGATAGATAGATAGATAGATAGATAGATAGATGGATGATGGAGATAGGATAGGAAGGTAGATACATAGATGATGGAGAACCATTGATAGATTTAAAAGGTAGATAGGTAGAGATAGAATAAGGTAGGCAGGTAGAAAGAAAGAAAGATGATGATAGATGCATGGATGATTAAGTGGATGGATGAGAGAGGAAGGAACCACCTCTACTGTGACTTCTCTTGGATGACTTTCTGAGTAAGGCCAAGAGTGCTGAGAAGTTAGCAGCCCAACTGGTTGACTTCCAAGTGAGAGAGTGAGTGAGTATCGCTGTTGTGCGGAAGGAGCCCGCAAGGGTTAGGGTTGTGGGTGCTGCCTCCCCAGGTGTTTTGGTTACAGGTGGTTCAGAACAGCCCCCCCCCCCCCCCCGAGTTGGGTGTCCTGTCTCCGAGGACCCCACGTGGCTGCTACAGCTTCTCTGGTGGCCACAAGCTGAAGCCAGCTGGCTTCTTCACTTTGCGTCTGTCCCAGTTTGGCAGCCTGCTCTAGGAACACGCCTGGTTGTTTTATCCTACAGGTTGGGAAGAAGGAAGAAGGGCTTGTAAGGCTGTGAGCACAATAGACCCCTTTCCCCTCGGCAGGTTGCCTTTCACCGCCATCTTACGGAAGGCCCGTCCAAGTCCTTGTTGGGCAATGGCTCAACGTTCTTATGAAGTCTTTCTGGGTTCGATTTGGAGAGCTTTCCCTTCGAGAAAATATTCTCCGGGACTTTCCTGATCGGAGACATCCCTGGTCTCTTTGGTGTGGGGAAATTTGTGGGTCACACCTGGCGATTCCTTTTTCCAAGCCCTGATTTGCTTTGTCCTAACACAAGCTGGACACGGAGGTCTCCCACCTTGGCTACTTTAAGCCTGGTGGACTTCAACTCCCAGAATTCCTCAGCCAGAAAGATCCCCCCCCCCACTTTGTTGAGGTTAAGATATATTACATCTACCACATTCCCACGATCTATTATTAAGAAAAGCTTATGAAAGAAATGTGACAAAGTTGGCCAAACTCTTTGCTGGCTGAAGAACTCTGGGAGTTGATGAAGTCCCCACATCTTCAAAGTGGCCACGGTTGGAGACCCCTGAGCCGGAGGATCTTCCAACAGGCTGAGTTGTGGCTTGCAGAGGAAACCTCCTTGGCCATCCTGGGGTGGGAGCAACTCTTCCATTAAGAGCCAACCAGGCGGTGAAGCTCCCAGGACCTCATTGGAGGTGGGCTGACCTGCCACCCCTTGGAGAGAAACCTCTTTCATTGGTTGAGAATCCTAGTTTTATTGGGACTCTGTTTTTCTGGCCTGTTTGGGTTACGGGAGAGGGGTGGAGGCCTCTGGGCGGGAAGACCCACTATGCTCCCCCCCCCCCCCCCCGTCTTCCAAGGGCTCCGAGTCACATGGCTGAAATTTGAGTGTTTTGCTCCTGGTTGTAATGCCAGAGGAGGACCTGGTTGGGGTGGCGGTGGAGGAAGTTGCACTGAATAGTTCGTCTTCTGCGTGTACTAGCATTGCTTAGCCATTCATATTAGTGCTCCTAACCGAAGCTCAGTTGTTGTTTTTTGATCAGCATAAATCGGTGTGTGTGTGGATGGACATAGAGGGATTTTAATTGAAAATTGGGGAGTTTTCTAGACGGGGAATGGGTGATTTTTTGAGCTTGGAGAGCAGAGTGGGGCGGTCCCTAAGGGAGCAGGGAAGATCTGAACCCAAAGCGAATCCATCAGGTTAATTAAGATGCTTTCAGTATTATGCGGGTTGTCAAATTGCGAGATACTTTTATGCGGGGAGACCTAAACGCAAGCGCTTCATTACTTGGGGAAGAATGATTCCGGAATGTCTCTCCTCGGTGGGGGGTTGACAAATCAAATCAAATCAAATCAAATATATTGGGAGAGAGAATGAATCCGGAGGGGGAATCAGCCGAAGGTTTGATTAGCTCCTGTTGCCTATCCCAACCGGAGGGAGTCGAGCGGCGTGTTGTGGCTGCCACATTCCTGGGCTTGCTGGACTACACTTCCCAGCATTCCTGGGAAACCCGGCCGGTGGTGATGAATACTGAGCATTGTTGTCCGGCAGATTGGGAGTGTCACGGCCGCTTGTTCCTGGTGCATCGCGAAGGGCGGGTGGGTTCTCCGCAGAGCCCCAGCTGGGTGGCAAAGCCTTCAGCATCTCCTGCTGCAGGGGAAGAAACCCTGGAAGAGGTTCATTTTGCCTGCTTTCTAAGCTGGCCAGACGCAGCCCAGCAGGTTGTTGTGCTGCTTGCAACCTGGCCGGCGGTGGCCACCGCGAGCTGGAGGGCTGAAGAGGCTCCGGGTTTCTTCAAACTCCAGCGAGGAAACCCGGCTTCGGTTGGGTTGAAGTGGGGGACCCCGCGGGGGGCCCTTTAGACAGGCAGTTTCCTTTGAATTGTCCATTATGGCTTCTCCCTCCTTGTGGGTTGGTTGCAACCGGCACTTGGGAAGGAGGCAGATCAACTTGGAAGGAGTTCTCCGTTCCACCTGCTGCTTTTTAAGGGGAGTTGTCAGAAAAATGGGTGAAATTGCAAGCAAGCCATCTTGGCAGCGATTTTCACCTCATCCACGCTGAATCGGCGCCAGTATTTGATCTGTTAAGAACGTATTCCTGTTAACAGGCCTTCAAAAGTCCTGGATTTGGACCATCTCTTAACCTTTTCATTCCGGGGGTGAAATTACAGTTTCGGCATTGATAACTCTTCAATTTGCTCTGATCTCATCTTTTTAAATTATTATTATTTTTAATTTCAGAGGGCGCAGCAGTGGCAAAGGGCCCCCTCAACCACCAGTAAGTACCTGATTTCATTTTTCCGCTTCTTTGACGCTTGTTGATTGATTTGGTTTTTTTTTATAAAAGTCAAAACTCAGTGGGTTTTTATTGGTTAGAGCAATGAAAACTGCCTGATAACAATAAATAAACCTCACCCCAGGTAATGTCACAATACCCAAAGGTGTGTAAGGGTCTATACTGCACCTTCAAATTGTCACATGGAGATATTCCCAGAGATAATTATCTAGTGAAATCTCTATTATTATTATTATTATTATTATTATTATTATTATTATTATTATTA